TTTAAAAAAAAAAAAAAACAGAGGAAATTCTGACACATGCTACAACATGGATGAACCTTAAAGACATTATCCTAAGTCAAATAAGCCAGTCACAAAAGGACAAATATTATATGACTCCACTTACGAAGTATCCAGAATGGTCAGATTCATAGAGAAAGAAAGTAGAATGGTGGTCGTCAGGGACTGGGGGAAGGGGGGAATAAGGAGTTATTAATGAGTACAGTGTTTTAGCTGGGGATGATGAAAAAGTTCTGGAGATGGACATTGTGACTGTATCTAATGCTAGTGAATTGTACATTGAAAGATGGTTAAATGGTAAATTTTATGTTATGTATATTTTACCACAATTTTAAAATAAGATTAAAAAAATTTTAATGTGCACACCCTTTTTATCTTTGACGCAGTCATTTGGGCATTTATTTTAAGATAATAGTTGTATATTTTAAGATTAAAAGGAAAAAATCTTGGGGGCCAGCCAGGTGGCGTAGCGGGGTTAAGTGCGCGTGCTCTACTTTGGCAGCCTGGGCTTTGCGGGTTCAGATCCAGGCGTGCACCGACGCACTGCTTGTCAAGCCATGCTGTGGTGGTGTCCCATATAAAGTAGAGGAAGATGGGCACGGATGTTAGCCCAGGGTCAGTCTTCCTCAGCAAAAAAAAGAGGAATATTGGCATGGGATGTTAGCTCAGGGCTAATTTTCCTCACCAAAAAAAAAAGTTTTTCACTGTAATATCTTTAAAGGCAATGAAATGGAAATCATCTAAATGCCTAATAATAAAGGAGCAATTCAATAAATCATAGGATATTATATGTCCACTAAGTATGGTATTTACAAAGGTGGAAATAACATGAATAAATAGCTCAAATAGTTCATGAACAAAATAAGGTTAGGAAGGAAAAATAGAATATGAAAGTGCACATACAATTTAATTATGTCTAGGTACAAATACATGAGCATAAGAGACTGCAAAGGAGCAAATGTTGACCGAAATGATGAAATCATAGGGAGATTTAAATTTTTTCTTTTGATAATATGATAATATTTTTTCAATAAACAAAAATTTGCAGTGGAGAAGGACAAAAAGAACAAAGATCTCTGTTTTGGAAGCTAAACATGAGAAACATAATCTCCACCTTTCTAAAAAGTGCCTAGTTTGGTTTTTTTTTTCCCCCTTTTCTCCCCAAAGCCCCAGTAGATAGTTGTATGTTATAGTTGCACATCTTGCTAGTTGCTGGCCACCTCAGCATGGCCCGACAAGTGGTGGGTCGGTGTGTGCCCGGGATCCAAACCCGGGCCGCCAGCAGCGGAGCGCGTGCACTTAACCGCTAAGCCATGGGGCCGGCCCCCGCAAAAAGTGTCTAGTCTTAATTTGCTGGCATAAAAATCTAAAACTTGTGGGGCTGGCCCGGTGGCACAAGCGGTTGGGTGCGTGCGCTCCGCTGCGGCGGCCCGGGGTTCGCTGGTTCGGATCCCGGGCGCGCACCGACGCACTGCTTGTCAGGCCATGCTGTGGCGGCGACCCATATAAAGTGGAGGAGGATGGGCACGGATGTTAGCCCAGGGC